TTTTTTGACATGGAGTTTTGCTTTTGTTGCCCAGGCTACAATGCAATGGCACAATCTTGGCTCACTGCAACCTCTGCCTCCCAGATTCAAGCTGTTCTCCTGCCTCAGGCTCCCAAGTAGCTGGGATTACGGGCATGCACCATCACACCCGGCTAATTTTGTATTTTTAGTAGAGACAGGGTTTCTCCATGTTGGTTAGGCTGGTCTCGAACTCCCGACCTCAGATGATTTGCCCGCCTTGGCCTCCCAAAGTGCTGGGATTACAGGTGTGAGCTACCGCACCCGGCCAATTTTTATATTTTTAGTACAGACGGGTTTCACCATGTTGGCCAGGCTGGTCTTGAACTCCTGACCTCAAGTGATCCTCCTGCCTAGGCCTCCCAATGTGCTGGTATTACAGGTGTGAACCAGTGTGCCCAGCCTCTAATTCCCATTTGGCTCGGCCTCTCCAGACCCTCTCCTGGTTCTCACCCATCTCCGCTCTGCCTATACTTGCTTGCTGTCATATACACTAATGCCCCTGCATTCAGGAGCTGTTTCCTCTTTCATCCCCTGGAATCCAGGGCCTGGAGGTACCTGGGTGTGCCCTTTGCTCTTGCTCTCCACTTCCTGACCTTTACCCCTCTTCCTTCTCAAACCCTACCTTGGAGCATCTTGTCACTAACTAGACCCTCCCCACTCTGCCTCTCCGGCTTCTACCTCTGACCTCAAGTAGCTCCTTGTTTCTTGAACTTTAGTTCCTGGCCAGTTCTCCCTCTCTCCCTCCAGCCTAATCCCTGCTGCAAAGCAGGTCCACTGTGCACTGGTTACCCCTTCAGCCCATTGCACCTTGGAATGTGCTTTTCCTACCTGCCCGAGTCTGGTAAGGTAGAATACTCATTCACATAACGAGTTACACGAAGCAGGTTCCTTATTTACAGATAGGTAGCAAGGGAGAGCAGAAGCCTAAGACTGACAGTGAGCAATCCCCCAAGGCTCAGGAAGGCTGCCCAAGATGGATGGCATCTGGTCTGCAGGTGCCCCACTTGCACTGCAGGTGAGGGACCCTGGAAAGCAGCCCACTCTAGGTTTTATACCCTGGGGAACAGGAATTGCTGGGCGAACGCATTAAAGGACAACCTGTTTCTAGATGGGGACAGGAACAGAGCCTAGGCTGTTCCAGCCAGTTCTTCCTTATCTCAAGATTGCATTTCCAGAGCATTGAGACGGAGTTTCGCTCTTGTTGCCCAGGCTACAGTGCAA